TCTCTCTCTCTCTCTCTCTCTTTCTCTCTCTCCTTCTCTCACTCTCTGGCTTCAGAGAGTATCTATGGAAACGTAAAACTCGTCCAACAAACAAAAATAAAATAAAATATATATAAAAAAAAAGGACCAAAAGAAGAAAAAAGAAAAGAGAAAAATAAAAAAGGGAAAATTATATCAATCTGTGTCCGATTGTGAGTGCTTTTTCATTTCATTTTAGCTTCTTTGTTGCTTGTAGCTGTTGGTTGTTGTAGTTGCGGTGTTCTTGCTCTTGATGCTCTCTTCCCGTGTCTTTTACGAAACCCAATTGAATTGATGCACCAAACAGCTTCCCCATCTCTCACTCTCTCAAGGTGAGCTTACCCCATCTCTCTCTCTCTCTCTCTCATTTGCGTTGGTTCTTCTTCTGACCCAATTGATTGTAATTTCTTCCAAATCTGAGGTCAACACTTTTGTTGCATTCTTCAGATTCTGCGCTGCAATTTCACACACACATACAAAAATATGAATTGGGTTGCATTTTTTAGTTTCACATTTTGACTACCCACTGACAAGCTCGGGACTTGATTCGATCTTGTCCAATTTCTGTGAATTGTCTTTGATCTGTTCCTTTGTTCTGTGCCCAAATAGCCCACTTTGTAGAAATGCAAGTGAGGAACAAGTGTTATCTGAATTGAATTGAGCTTCACTAGCTCACTTAAGTCAATGCTTCAGTTTTTCTTTTTTCTTTTTCCTTTTCCGGGAAAGATTTGTAGATTGGAAATTGGTTTGTGTGTAATCTTGGTCTGCAATTGTGTTTGACAGGAGGCTGTGAGGTAGATCTGGAGAAGGGCAAGGTCTCTTCATTGATTTGTTCTTTGAATCTTGAAGAGTAGCAAAGCTGGCAACCACACTGGGTTGGAGGTTTGCTGCCAGCAATGGCAGCACCCTTGCCACTAATGATCTGGTACTTTCCTTTGTCATTTTTGTTTCATTTCTTATATGGGTCTTTTTTGGATTTTTTTTCTTCTTTTCTCTTCCTTTTTTTGTTCTTGAATCGTAATTTGAGATTGTAGATTATAAATCCAGCTGAAAGAGTAT